GCCTCCTGAGTAGCTGGGATTACAGGCACGCACCACCATGCCCAGCTAATTTTTTGTATTTTTAGTAGAGACGGGGTTTCACCATGTTGACCAGGATGGTCTCGATCTGTTGACCTCGTGATCCACCCGCCTCGGCCTCCCAAAGTGCTGGGATTACAGGCTTGAGCCACCACGCCTGGCCTATATATTTTTTTTAAGACGGAGTTTCACTCTTGTCACCTGGCTGGAGTGCAGTGGCGTGATCTCAGCTCGCTGCAACCTCCGCCTCCTGGGTTCAAGCGATTCTGCCTCAGCCTCCCGAGTAGCTGTGATTACAGGCGCATGCCGCCATGCCTGGCTAATTTTTGCATTTTTAGTAGAAACAGGGTTTCACTGTGTTGGCCAGGCTGGTCTCAAACTGCTGACCTCAGGTGATCTGCCCGCCTCGGCCTCCCACAATGCTGGGATTATAGATATGAGCCACCACACCTGGCCATCTGCTGTCTTTCTGAAGAGTTTATGTTATTGTAAATTTAAAAAATATATATATTTTGTAGAGGTGGGGTTGTTCTTGCTGTGTTGCCCAGGTTGGTCTCAGACTCCTGGCCTCAAGTGATCCTCCCACCTCAGCCTCCCAAAGCACTAGGGTTATAGGTGTGAGCCATCATGCTCAGCAGATGATGATGATGATGATTATTATTATTATTTTATTCATTTATTTATTTATTTTTAAGACGGAGTTTCGCTCTTGTTGCCCAGGCTAGAGTGCAGTGGTGCAATTTCAGCTCATTTCAACCTCTGCCTGCCCAGTTCAAGCGATTCTCCTGCCTCAGCCTCCCAAGTAGCTGGGACTACAGGTGCATGCCACCACGCCCAGCTAATTTTTGTATTTTTTGTAGAGACCGGGTTTCTCCATGTTGGCCAGGCTGGTCTCACCTCTTGACCTCGTGATCCGCCCACCTCGGCCTCCCAGAGTGCTGGGATTACATGCATGAGCCGCCATGCCCTGCCTATTGTTTTTATAATCAGAAAGGACATCAAAGCTTTTTCCATTTTGGAGAAACAGGTTTTTTGGGTTTTTTTTTTTTTTTTTTTTCTGTGCTTTGAGACAGGATATGCCACCACACCTGGCTAATTTTTGTATTTTTTGTTAGAGATGGTTTCTCACTTCGTGGTCCAGGTTAGTATTGAACTCCTGGGCTCAAGTTCTCACCCTCCTCAGCCTTCTCAAGTGCTGGGATGACAGGCATGTGCCACTGCACCCAGCTGAGATAGAGTTTTAATCCACTGACAGACACTGGCTAAGCTCTCCTCCCTGTCTCACGTTCCTGGGGCTGAGTTATCATCAGAGAGTTGTTTGCAGAGCGGGGCAGGCCAGGGGGTGTCAGGCTGGCCCCATCACAGGCCGGGGGCTGCTCCTCCTGGGTGGGGTTCGTCTTTAGCTCTGAGCAGTTAGGGCTGGTCAGGAACTCACAGCGTGGTGCGGCATCTCAGACAGGCTGTATGTCCCTCACTGCCCCAGAGGCCGAGACTGGCGCCCTCCTCCATCACCCTGCCCCTCCCCGCTACCTGAGAACACTTGGATGGATGCGTGTTCTGTGTTCACAGCCACATCCTCATGGGGCTTTTGTTACACCTCTCAGGTGACACACTCTGTGACTCACCTGTTAGATGACTCCCTTCTGTCCTGTCTCCTGAAACACCACCCGGGGCTGGCTGGCCATGCCCCATGGCCCTGGGGGCCTCCCCATGGCTGTGGTCACCCTGCATTCTCGCCGGGCTTCCAGGGGGCACTTAGGTCCCCCCACTTTTTGGAGCCACCTCATGGCTGCTCCTGTGAGTGAAAGCTGGTGCCCCCATCATGGTGGAGACTGAGGCTCAGGAAATTCCAGTCTCCAAAAAGGTGCCCCGCTGTGGACAGGCTGGGCTCCGGGTGTGTCCCGGCTGGTGCCTCTGTGCCCCAAGCAGACACTGGGGCTCTGGCCAGGTCTCCTGGCCTAGGCAATTCCCAGGGTCCTGTGTGCCTGGGAGCTTAAAGTGAGTCAGGCAAGGTCACCTGCAGAGGTTTCTTGGGGTTCATTGTGCAGCAGGAGTGGAGGCCATCTTGGCCTGGGCCCCATTGCTTTCAGATGTGTGGGACAAATACATCCTTCCAAGTCTCTACAAACGAGGGGTCGTGCCCCAGACTGGACCACAGATGGGGAAACTGAGGCTCAGCGAGAGGGTGGCCCCTTGGCACCGTATCACCTGAGGTCTCCACCTTGCAGAGGGGTGGGCAGGGGGACTCTGGCAGTGTTGGTCCCAGCCCACCTCTGAGGAGGTGACCTTTTGTGGTCCTGGCCGAGGTGGGGGGGATGGGCAGGCCTGGGGGTTGGAGTGACTGACCCTGCCTGCCCCATCTGCCTGGGTCTCTAGGACAGCGGCTACCCAGAGACGCTGGTTAACCTCATCGTCCTGTCACAGCATCTGGGCAAGCCCCCCGAGGTAAGCGGCCCCCAGGGCTCCAGGCCAACCCTAATGACCAGACCCTGGGACCCCAGCCTGGGGTCCTAATCCCTAGATCCCTGGGAAGGCTCTGCACACAGTGTATCCATCGAAGCCCACCTCCATCACAAACCCTGCACCCCCAACCCCATCCTCACTTGGGGTCCTGTCCAACCGGCTCCCCTGAACTCCACGATGCATCTGCCACTATGTGCAGAAGCCAGCTCTGTGCCAGCACCGCTCCAGGGATCGGCCCTGGCTCCTGCCCCCATCCACCCCTGTCCTGCAGGTCAGAGCTTCTGTGGGGTCCCCATGTTCGGCTCACCCGCCTCCCTGCTTCCCCTGCAGGTGACAAACCGATACCTGTCCCAGCTGAAGGATGCCCACAGGTCCCATCCCTTCATCAAGGAATACCAGGCCAAGGTGAGTGGCGGGGGTGAGCTGTCCCCAAGAACCAGGCCAGGGGGCACCTGGAGCTCAGCCTAGACTCACATGCAGCCTCTCTCTCCCCCCTTTCTCCCCCACCTGTCTCCCCACACCCTGCCCCCACCCTGTGTCGCCTGTGTCTCGCTGAAGGAGAACGACTTTGACAGGCTGGTGCTACAGTACGCTCCCAGCGCCTGAGGCGGGCCCAGAGCAGTCAGGACCTCGAAGCCAGGACAGAGGCCAGGAGTCCTGCAGCTCTCCCCACCTGGCACCCACCCTGCATCCTCTCTAGGGGCAGGAGCCCAGCCCCAGCACCCCCATCTGTCAATAAATGTCTCCAGAGTGTTCCCACCTGATGATGTGCTCAGCCACTTTGCTGGGGGGTGTGGGAGGTGACGCTCAGGGAGAGTCCTGGGGCACTGGCACCCAGGGCTGTTCCGGGAGACCAGGGTTTGTGGTGAGCCCCAGCTGTGCAGACCTCTACCCCGCCCTCACACAGCCACAAGCTACTCCTGCCAAGCCAGAGGCAGCACAGCCCTGTCCACACCTCACCCTGGCCCCGAGAGGACACTGAGCAACCCTGGTTGGCATCGGGGAAACTGAGGCACAGAGAGGTCATGCAGTTATTGTGAGGGGCACTAAGATTCAAAACAAGAATTCCTGAGTGGCGTGGAGGTGGTGGGGGCTCAGCCCTCAGCTCAGCCTTCAGCTCAGCAAAGCCGGAGGGGCCCCGAAGGGTCAGCGTTAACCCCACGCGCTGCTCCTGCCGCCCTGCAAACCCTCCGCTAAGTCGGAGTCCTGCTGTGGCCGGAGCCCTGGGGCCAAGCACCCAGCCACGATGAGAGGCGGCCGCACAATGGGGAGGTGGGTGGGCGGCCGCGGGCCTGGCCAGAGCCTCCCAGATGAGGTCACCATTGAGCTGTCCACCTAATCAAGGAGGAGCTGTCAGGCTAGGCTCTGGGGGGGACAGGCACCCCGGCAGTGTCCCAGCCAGTGCAAAGGTCCCTCGGTGGCTCAGGGCAGCAAGGTTAAGGGGGGCTGGACAGGGCTGCATACCCTTTGACCTCTGAGCCTGGCCTGGGCTTATCTCCCAGGGAAAAGATAAGAGGCTGGGTTTCCCCAGCCCCACCCAGGCCTACTCGTTTGAATCCGGGCCCTGTCTCTGGTTGCCAGGGCAGGACAGCAAGCGACCCCTGCCCCCAGCTCCTCCCTGCCTGGTCAGGGAGGGAAGTGGCAAGAGAGGCCTTCCTGGGCAAAGAAATCAGGAGGACCCAAGGTCAAGCTTCCCGGAGGGAGGAGACCTTTGGGGGGGGCCACTGGCCTCAAGACTGACCCTGCCTTGTCTCGGGTGCCTGGTCCCCAGCTGCCAGCAGAGTCGCCTTCCATTCCTGCCCTGCACCCCACCCACTGGCGGCCTTCCAGCTAGACCCGCCAAAAAGAAATTTGAGGCTGAGCTGGGGCCAGTGGGTGGGCGGGTAGCGCCTCTCCCATGACCGATGGGCGCCATGGTGACCAGATAGTGCTGGCTGGGAGGGTTGGGGAGGTGGCTGGTCCCATCCAGGGCTGCCCCACAGGCCTGGCCAGACCTATGAGAGGATGTCCAGCTGAGCCCTACATCCCCTCGCCTCCCTCTGCCTGCCAGGCAGGTTGTGGCATCTCTGGCCTCCAGCTGGACCTGAAATATTGGCCAGGTCAGGCCTCATGCCCCCCACATACTGGGCCTGTCACTTCCCTCCCTGACTCAGGGACAGACTCCTAGGCACGTGGAGTCCACATTCAAGAATAAGGAGTGGGGCCAGGTACAGTGGCTCTTGCCTGTAATTCCAGTACTTTGGGAGGCCAAGGTGGGCAGATCACTTGAGGTCAGGAGTTTGATGCCAGCCTGGTCAACACGGCAAAACCCCTACTCTACTAAAAATATAAAAATTAGCCAGGAGTGGTGGCTGGCACCTATAATCCCAGCTACTCAGGAGGCTGAGGCAGGAGAGTCGCTTGAACCCGGCAGGCGGAGGTTGCATGTGAGATTGCACCATTGCACTCCAGCCTGGGCAACAAGAGTGAAACTCAAAAGAATAAGGAGGAGCCGGGCGCGGTGGCTCACGCCTGTAATCCCAGCACTTTGGGAGGCCGAGGCGGGTGGATCACGAGGTCAAGAGATCGAGACCATCCTGGTCAACATAGTGAAACCCTGTCTCTACTAAAAAAATACAAAAAATCAGCTGGGCATGGTGGCGCGTGCCTGTAATCCCAGCTACTCAGGAGGCTGAGGCAGGAGAATTGCCTGAACCCAGGAGGCAGAGGTTGCGGTGAGCCGAGGTCGCGCCATTGCACTCCAGCCTGGGTAACATGAGTGAAACTCAGTCTCAAAAAAAAAAAAAAAAATAAGGAGGAGCTGTATGTATTCGGTGCATCTGGTGACAAGTGACAAGCACACTTGAGGGGTGCGTGGGACTTTAGAGTTGGGCAGCCTGAGCAGGTGCAGAAGAGCCCTGCAGGTACTTAGGGGAACAGCATTTCAGGAGGAGGAACAGCCCTTACAAAGGCCCTGAGGCAGGACAGAGGTATGTTGGAAGAACAGCAGGAAAGCCCACGGGTGCAGGGAAACGGGACACTGTGAGGGCGGCCGGTGAGGACCTGGGCTTTTCCTGAGTGGGACAGGAGCCATGGAGGGCTGCGAGCAGAGGAGGAACAGGCCCGACAATGTCACAGCCTCCTCCTGGCCTCTGTGGGAAGCCAGGATACCAGACAGAACCCTCAAAAGGTTAGGTGGGGGCAAGGATGTGCAGGTGCAGAGAAGTGGCCAGATGCAGACACACCTGAAGGTGGGGCCACCTGGCTGTGTTGTAGGGGCTGGGTATGGGTCAAGGGGAAGGTGTGTTCACCTGTGCCCCACAGGTCAGGTGCGTTCACCTGTGCCCCACAGGTCAGGTGCGGGTGTGTGGGAGCCAGCTCGGCGCTACAGGACTCATCCCTGCATCCTGCACCTTGAGGGCCAGGTGTGGGGATGTCCTGGGGGCTGGGAGAAGTGGGTGCAGCAGTGCCAAGGGAGGTGGCGGCCTCCGTGGCAGCCCCAACAGGGGTGACCAGTGTCTCCCTTGATGGCCCTCAGGGGCTTTGGGCACAGGGCCTGGTCAATGAACACTGCATTGGAAGGCCACTTGTGGGGGTCCCAATGATGTCATAGTCGATCCAGGTTGGGAGTCCCCCCCCAGTTGGCACTCACTCCTGCAGCCTCTCTGCAACTCATGTGTTAACCTGGGGGGGATGGCCGGGCGCGGTGGCTCAAGCCTGTAATCCCAGCACTTTGGGAGGCCGAGGCGGGTGGATCACGAGATCAAGAGATCGAGACCATCCTGGTCAACATGGTGAAACCCCGTCTCTACTAAAACTACAAAAAATTAGCTGGGCATGGTGGTGCGTGCCTGTAATCCCAGCTACTCAGGAAGCTGAGGCAGGAGAATTGCCTGAACCCGGGAGGCGGAGGTTGCGGTGAGCCAAGATCGCGCCATTGCACTCCAGTCTGGGTAACAAGAGTGAAACTCCGTCTCAAAAAAAAAAAAAAAAAAACCTGGGGAGGTTAACACATGGGGAGGCCTGCTGGGTTCTCCAGGGTCGCAGAGAGCAGCAAGTGACCCTCAGAGAACCCCCTAATCTCAGTAGCCCTCATCACACCTTTGAGTCCCGGTAGCCCGCTCTGCAGACCTGCAGAGGAAGAGGTCTGGGACGTGTCCAGGCTGGAACCCCACTGCCAGGCCCCTGGTGTGGGACAGAGGGCTGCGTCTGTCTCCACGAGGTGCGCTTCCCAATGCCATGGTGTGGGCCGTGTCCTTTTGAAGAATGAGAATGTTTCATTGAGCCTACGCCTGAATGCGGGAAGGCCACGGGATGGTCCTGAGACTGTGCCAAGGCGTGCCAGGACTCGGGTCCTTGAGGAGGAGCGAGGGCTCCGGGAACGGTGAGCTCCGAGCCTGCCAGAGCAATGAAGTGGGACTGAGTTCTGAAGGACCGGGAGGAGCGAGGGTCGCCGGCCAAGGGGACTGACTGCTAGTGTGTCCCCCGTGCCCCCCCCGTCATGGTCAAGCCGCCGTGAGGTGAGGGAGTCGGGGGCGCTTGGGGCGGGCATGGGGGCGCGACACGGCCGGGCGCGGGGTCTCTGGGGGTCCAGGTCCAGCGGGCGCCCAGCTGGCTCCGGCCCCCTCCCCACGCGCCTTGGTTTCTCTGCTGGGAAACAAGCAGGGGCGCGGGCCCGCCTCAGGGGCGCCGCGCGTCCCCCCTGGCCGCCCCCCGGCCGCGTCCCCCCATGGCCGCCCCCCCGGCCGCGCCCCCGGAGGGGCGGAGCTTGCGCCAGTCCCGCCCCTCCGCCCTCGGCTCTCCAGCCTGCGCGCCCCCGGCCCAGCTGCGGCGCGTGACGCGGGGCGCGCGGCTCCGGCGGCTACCGCGGGCGGGCGCAGGCGACGGGGACGGCGGGCTAGCGGGCGGCATGGCGGCGGCAGGGCTCGCGTCAGGGCCGACGGGGCCCGAGCCCATGCCAAGCTACGCGCAGCTAGTGCGGCGCGGCTGGGGCAGCGCGCTGGCGGCGGCGCGGGGCTGCACGGACTGCGGCTGGGGGCTGGCGCGCCGCGGCCTGGCCGAGAACGCGCACCTGGCGCCGCCCGAGCTGCTGCTGCTGGCCCTAGGCGCGCTGGGCTGGACCGCTCTGCGCTCCGCGGCCACCGCGCGCCTCTTTCGGGTCAGTGTGGCGGGGGGCCGGGACAAGGGGACCCTGGACTGGGGGAAGCCGGGACCAGGGATCTCGGGCCGCCGTGCGTCCCTTTCTCCCAGGGCTGGCTGCTGCGGATGAGGGGGTCGCCGGAACGTGGGTGGGGGCCTCGGGCTGGAGGGGCCCGGGATGTTGGAACTCCGGGACGGGGTCTCTCGGGCCGCCCCGTGCCCCTTTGAGTCAGTGCGGCGTGGGGGACCCGGGTTGATGCGGGGGTGTGGCCGGGCTGGGGTGAGTCTGGGACAAGGGGGCCCGAGACGGTGGAGCGTTTGAGACATGGGTCCAGGCACGAGCCTTTCCGGTCAGTTTGGGACCAGGGGGCCCGCGCGGTAGATGGCTTGGGCCACCGTGCTCTCTTTCCGGCAGTGCCGAGCCAGGGCGCCGAGAAGCCCAGGACCGGGACAGGGAGGGCATGGCGCACCACGGCCGCCTGTGCCTTTCGCCTCCTGGCTATGTAGGCTGGGCTCTGGCCAGCAGCAGGGTCCGCTGCCCGTTTTCTGCGGGGTCCCTGCTCGGCTTGCCCGCTGCAATCGGGAAGAGGCAGGAGGAGCTGCTCGGTAGCTGCCTTGTGCCTGTCTGGGGTCAGCGCCACCCTCCGACCAGGGATGGCAAAGGCCTGGGCGCCTTGGCCACGCCAGTGGTCTCCCCCTTGACAATGACAAGGCCCGGGGCTTCAGAGTTGGACTGTGCTGCCTCCAAGAGGCGACAGCAGATTTCCCCAGTTTCTGCTGAGACCATCGCCCCTGCGGGAGACTGACCATGGTGGTGACATTGGCGCCTGACCCCACCCCCTTCCCTGGGGAGGGGTCGCTGTGGCAGGAGCTGGTGGCAAAGTGTTTGGGCCTTTAGCTTGGCTTGGACACCCCCATGGACCAGCTGGTGTCACCCCGCCCGTCTGGCTGGAGGGTGCAGGGACAGTGTGCCCTGGGCCAACAAAGGGGCCTTTCTCTGTTGGCCGGGAAGAGGCTGGCCCTTGTTAGGTCGAGGATGGGCTGTTGTCTGACTGCCACTCTCCCCACTCCTGTCCCCATATCACCCATATGGGGGAGAGACCCCAGCCACCCCCCTACTGCGGGAGGGAATACAGGGCTGTCCAGGGCCCCTCCCTGGGTCCACAGTGGTCTTTATCCTGCTTGTTGCCCCTGCCTTCTTCCCAATTTCTAGCTGGGAAGCCCGAGGCCCAGGAGGGCAAGGCCCCCACCCCCCAACCCGGGGGCAGGAGGATGTGGCCACTCTTGGACTACCAGGGCGGAGCCAGGGGGCCATCCCCAGCCTGGGTGGGGTGCTCGCCCAAATTCCAGGCTCGCCCTTCTCCAGAAATGGGTGGAGGGGCTGCCGGGTGCTCCAAAGCTCATCTTCTTGGCAGCAGCCTGGTTGCCAGGGGTTACTGGAGCGGGCTCCAGCTGTCTCCATGACAACTACTGGGTGCTCTGGGCTCCGTCCCCCTCAGCTTCGGGGGAAGGGGGCGGGGCTTGACCGGGCTGCTCGAGCCCCGCCCCCAGGGAATTTGAGCGTCCCCCACTGCACTCCCCAACCCCAGCCTTGGAGCCGGCAGCTCCCTCTGCACTCCCGATGCTCCCTGGGGCCTCAGCTCGCCTATGACACCCTTTCCGCGGTGTCCCCTCTTCCTCCAGCCCCTTCTCTCCTTTCATTGCCCCCGGGTTCCCATGTCCCCGCCATACCTTCCCGCAGTCTCCCTCAGCCCTCTATTCTCTGGTCTCCCCAAATTCCCCCGCTGAGACGGCGACTTCCTCTCAAGTTCTTCTCTCTTCTGCATCGTTCCCATGAGGTTCCCTGTGTTCCCCAAAATGCTGGGTGCTCTGGGCTCCGGACCCCCTCAGCCTCTGTGAAGGGGGCGGGGCTTGTCCAGGGACAGGCAGCTCGAGCCCCGCCCCCAGGGAGCTTGAGCACCCCCGCCCCCGACACCGCACTCCCCAACCCCTTCCTCGCAGCTTCCTCTGCACCCTGGTTCGTGGAACCCCTCCTTGTTCCCTTCATGAGTCACCCCCAGCAGCCCAACCCCCCTAGGCTGACCCATCCATCTCTCCCCTTCGCCAGAATCCCGAGTGTCGCCCTCCCGGCGGCCCCCAGAGCCCTCCTGTTCCCCTCCTCTCCCCTCGGGGTTTCCCCTCCGACTCCCCTTCCAGCGCCACCGCGGTGGACAGCTGGGCACTAAGTTTAGCCTTGGCAGGTGCCCATGGGCTCTGTTTACGCTCCAGGTGATCGTGGGCAAGGGGGACGGGCCTTCCAGTGCTGCCCCGCCTGGAGAGTCCCTGGACCACTCCAGGGACTTTACAGGCCAGAGTTTCCCCATCCTGGAGAAGCAGTCTCTGGTTTCCAGCACCAACGGTTGCCCGCCTGCCTTCTCCCTCATAGCCCCTAGCGAAGCGGTGCCGCCTCCAGCCCAGAGATGCCGCCAAGATGCCAGAGAGTGCTTGGAAGTTTCTCTTCTACCTGGGCAGCTGGAGCTACAGTGCCTACCTGCTTTTTGGCACCGACTACCCCTTCTTCCATGACCCACCCTCTGTCTTCTACGGTAGGGGCCCTGAGGGGATGGCAGGGAGGGCTCTGCTTAAAACACAAAGAAGCTAGGCAGTGACGGGTGCTTGTGGTCCCAGCTACTCAGGAGGCGCAGGTGGGAGGATCGCTGGAGCCCAGGAGCTGGAGGCTGCAGGGAGCTATGAGCACGCCATTGCACTGCAGCCTCGGTGACAGAGTGAGACCCTGTCTCTTATCAGAAAAGATAGAAGGGTGTAAGGAGACACTTATCAAAATCAGAGCTCCTATGGGTGTCTCAAAAGTTAAGCCTGACAAGGGTGATCCATGGGGACAGGAAAGGGGGTTATCTGGCCCTGTCAGAGCTCAGGAAAGAATCCTGGAGGAGGGACCCCTGTGTGGGCCCAGGCAGGCCTTCCAGGTGTGGGTAACAGCACGTGCAGAGGCCCAGAGGCACTCACATTGCATGGGGACAGGAGGAGGGTGGCTGCAGAGAGCTGAGGCAGCAGTTGGAGTTCCATCCTGAATGTGATGTTTTTAAGCATGGCATGGAGAGGATTGGGTTTTGTGGATGATAAAATGCTTCCTCTGGCTGCCCGTGGAGGTGGGAGGTTCCCCGTGGCTTGTACAATCTTGGTGAGGAGGTAAAAATGATGAGGCCGTGTGCGGTGGCTCACACCTGTAATCCCAGCACTTTGGGAGGCTGAGGCAGGTGGATCACCTGAGGTCAGGAGTTCAAGACCAGCCTGGCCAACATGGTGAAACCTCGTCTCTACTAAAAATACAAAAATTAGTCAGGCCTGGTGGCATGTGCTTATAATCCCAGCTGTTGGGGAGGTTGAGGCAGGAGAATCACTTGAACCCAGGAGGCGGAGGTTGCAGTGAACCGAGATCGTGCCACTGCACTCCACCAGCCTGGGTGACAGGGCGAGACTCCATCTCTGGGAAAAAAAAATGGTGAGAAGTGGGCCAGTCGTGGTGGCTCACTGGCTCACACCGGTAATCCCAACACTTTGGGAGGCAATGGTGGAAGAATCACTTGAGCCCAGGAGTTTAAGAGCAGCTGGAGCAACATGGTGAAACCCCATTTCCACAAAAAATTAGCCTGGTGTGGTGGTGCACATCTGTAATCTCAGCTACTCGGGAGGCTGAGGTGGGAGAATCGCATGAACCTGGGAGGCGGAGGTTGCAGTGAGCCAAGATCGCGCCGTTACACTCCAGCCTGGGCGACAGAACGAGACCTTGTCTGAAAAAAAAAAAAAAAAAGATTGGATGTGGCTTGAGCTCTGGGTGGCTGGGCAGGAAGGTGACTGCAGTGCGCTGTGTGTGACCTGCCCTGGCAGAGAATGCAGGGCAGGGCCAGCATTGCCACTGGGCAGGTTGGTGTAGGAGACGCCATCTGCACTGGGGCCGTGGGGGTGCAGCTTGTCTGCCCTGCGAGGACCACCACAATACACACAATAGGTGTTCCCTGTCGTGTGATGCCAACAGCCTAGAGGGCTCCTGGTGGCACTGAGCCCAGAGTGCTCAGTGGCGATGCCACTCATGAGGCCACTTTTCTCATGCCACGCACCTTGAATCCCTAGAGGGGAGGTGTTGGCAGTCGCTCAGTGTCCTTGTGATGCATGACCCATGACTGGATGCTCTGAACTTTTTGTTGTTGTTGGGTCAGAGTTCCACTCCCGTTGCCCAGGATGGAGTGCACTGGCGCGATCTGAGCTCACCGCAGTCTCCACCTCCCAGGTTCAGGCAGTTCTCCTGCCTCAGCCTCCTGCGTAGCTGGGATTACAGGCACATGCCCCACCACACCTGGCTAGTTTTATATTTTTAGTAGAGACAGGGTTTCTCCATGTTGGTTAGGCTGGTCTCCAACGCCCAACCTCAGGTGATCCGCCCACCTCAGCCTCCCAAAGTGCTGGGATTACAGGTGTGAGCCACTGCGCCCGGCGCCTCTTAACGTTTTGGGCATGTTGCCTCTAGTTTTTATTTTATTTTGTTTTTGAGACGGAGCCTTGATGTCGCCCAGGCTGCAGAGCAGTGGTGCCATCTCAGTTCACTGCAACCTCCGCCTTCCCGGGTTCAAGCAACTCTCATGCCTCAGCCTCCCGAGTAGCTCTGGGACTACCAGCGTGCGCCACCACGCCCAGCTAATCTTTGTAGTTTTAATAGAGATGGGGTTTCATTATCTTGGCAAGGCTGGTCTTGAACTCCTGACCTCATGATCTACCCG